GTGGCGCCCCGCCGGGGCTGCGGCTTGCAGCTCGGCTCGGACCGAGGGGAAACTCCAGCTGCAGAGTTCGGGAGCAGCCCCGTAAGGGCCGTGCTGCGGGAACCCGGCTGTGGGTCGTGGAGCTGAAAAAGCAACGGAGCAAATGCAACGGGAGGTTGAAGCGTTACACCTGCTCTGCTCAGAGAACGTCGGAGGAGGTGGCGGAGGGTCCGGTCCTGCCCCGGTGAAACTCCCCGGCACCGGAGGGGGAAACTCCAGCTGCAGAGTTCGGGAGCAGCCCCGTAAGGGCCGTGCTGCGGGAACCCGGCTGTGGGTCGTGGAGCTGAAAAAGCAACGGAGCAAATGCAACGGGAGGTTGAAGCGTTACACCTGCTCTGCTCAGAGAACGTCGGAGGAGGTGGCGGAGGGTCCGGTCCTGCCCCGGTGAAACTCCCCGGCACCGGAGGGGCTTTCGCATCAGTGGAGAAGGAACCAGTCTTGAGAAGAGATCGCTGCAGGTGACCAGCTGCATCTCCCGAGATCCCTCCTGCTGGCGAAGGACCCCCTGCCCAAGCCCAAGGCTTACTTTTCTACTCGCCTTCATCTCCATCCCTGCCCTCCAGAATATCTTTCTGCAGGGAATTGCCCTTAGGATGCAACAGGGTGGACTTGGGAAGCTCTAGCCTCTCCGAGAGCAGCTCCCCACCCTTGCAGAGCGAGTGAGCTTTCCTCTCACCCTCAGATCTTCCCTACAGAGCGAAAAGGGGAGCTGTGTTTTGGGGAGAAAAGCCGGCAGCAGCGCAAACACCCTCTCAGATGTTGTTTCAGAAGCACCTTTGGAAAGGGTGAGGCAGCACCACTAACCTTCATGCATGGTCCCCAAGGTCTAAGCTAATTCAAACGACCTTCCAGGCTGCCGTGGTGCTCGGGATCCACGCGCCCGATGCCGCAGAGACGCCGGTTCAAAGCAAAACCCACCATGTGGCCTTTGGGACGTAACATCTTCTCAAAGCAGCTGCTTTGAAAACTGTCGGTGCCTGGGCGTGATTTTCTGGTGTAGGCAGAGAAACCCGCGGGTCGGAGGCTGAAGGCAGCACAGGAGCACGGCTAATGGAAACGGTGCTGGAGCCCTTCACGGTGTTAATGACGGTAATGGGTACGGACAGGCTGGCGGGGACGGGAGTGAAAGGCAGCAGAGAGGCTGAGAGCTGGCTTGGAAAGGCAACAGGAGCGGAAAGCGAAACTGGTGGAAAATGAGTGGGAACAGAAGAAAAAAAAAAACAAACAGCGAGAGCAAGGCAGGAGCGCAGAGCCCGGGAGGGACGGGACGGAGAAGCTGCGCTCCCGGCGTCGGCGCAGCGGGAGGAAGGAACCAGAGCAGGAGTGCAGCGGGGCGATAAACCTCACCTAAACCAGGACACGGTATTAGACCCCCTCAGAAACACAAGGCGTTGATGAAGAGTTAACACCAAGCGGGGCTGGTGCACTCCCGCCCCGAGCTTGCTCTCCCCATGCAAACCCGGGGGCAGCCTGTCCCAGTTGGCCATTGGCAAGTGTTCCCTTCCCCCCTGTCTAGTCCCACCGTGCCCGTCAGGATCCGTGTGTGTGCCGTGGGAACCTGGCTTCCCACCCGAGCTGGGCCTTCTGCTTTCTTCAGCCCCAGTGTCTCTGCCCCAAGCGGCTTCTCCCCCCCCACACACCTGCCCGGCTCCTCTTTGGGGCATTTGTCATCCCCTCGCCTTCCAAGCCACCTCTGGGTTTCAAACCCTGCCCATCAGAGAAGGGATTTGATGGAACAAGCATGTAATTAAGCAAAACTGCTCTGTGGAGATAACCAAGGGTCCTGCAGGAGGCATCTATCAGCATCTTCAAAGAGGTGACCGAATTACCGGGGGGAGGGCAAGACAAGTCAGGCTCGATTTCTAGAAAGCACCTGATTCTGTGTCATATGTCAGGCAGCCACCCAAAGCCGGAGCACATGGTGGTGTATGAGAAGAGGAGCCAATTAAATTGATTAAAAACTGGCTGGAGTGCAAGAACACGAGCGAAGCTGCCAGTCGCACCAAGAGGATGCCGGCAGAGAGGCGTCAGCACGTCCACGCAGCCTTATAAGGAATTTTTTTTTTCCCCATCTTGAACATAAGTAGCCTCAGGAAGGGCTCTCCTTGGAGGGCCCCAAAGCTGAAAGGGTTAATTTTCTGTTCCAGTGGGTCCCTAGGAACGACTCCCGGGGTGGTTCGATGCGCGATGAACCTGCCGTTGCGGGGAGGGGCTGGGCACCCCCGGGACCGCATCGAGCCCTGGGCGCCCACGTGCTGCTCTGTTTATGCTGCTGCACAGCGCGGCGGCTCGCAGCACCCATTCATCTGCCGCTCCTGTGGCGCGAGCAGCGCGTCCCTCTCAAGTACGGTGGAGTTCACACTGGCCAGCACCAGCGGCAGAAGAGAGAAGATAACGCAGGCTCTGGCTGGGCTGGATTTACAGCCTCCGCAGGTGATTTACAGAGCCCAGGCCGACTCTCGGCAGGGCTCAGCCACGGGGCTGCACCCAAACCCATCCCCGCTCAGAGTTTCCGGGACCTCAGATCACCAGATCTTGAAGGTTTCCAAACTGCTCCAAAAAATCAAACTCTCCTGCTAAGAACTGAGGGGTTTTTTCCCCCCTCTTTTTGCAGCTGCCCAGATTTCAGCTGCCTTTCTGATTGCTCACGGCCCCCTCTGCTCCCGACCTGGCTTCTGCTTCCCAAGGCACCGACGCCAACAGCTCGCCTGGCTGATGCTCTGGCGTGGGGTCTGCTCCCACCCTGCCAGGACCAGGAGCTTGGCAGCTCAGGGATGGGTTTGGATGAAACCTGCCTTCACCCTCCCCCGCTTCCCCTCCCCAAAACGGGGGATCCCCACACATCGCACCCCTTCCTATTCCAGCCAGCCCCATCTCGCCCCTGCTTGGGGACCAGCCGCCTCCCGCAGCCCATCCTCCCCAGCCCCGCAGGAGCTCGAGTGACGATGCTGATGCTTTTGACTCCTTCCTCGCATCTCCCAGGCGAGTCCCTCAGGCCGGTGCTCACGGTCCATTACCCGGGGCGTTAACCGCCCCGCCGGGCAGGGAAAGCACTTAGAGGTTTCCTCACACCTCCCCGGCTGGCAGCAGGACCCGGCAGCCTGGGCACAGCACTCGGGGAAGACGACACGCTGTCCTTTTGCAGGAGAGGACACGTGCAGGGCAGCACCCAAGGGGACAGAGACAGGGAGAGCCCCACGTCGGGGCAGCTGCCAGCCCGCGGGGGATCATGTGCTGTTCCCGGGGGCTGCTCCCCGTTCCTGGCACGCTCCGGCTCTCTCTGCCTCACCCAGGTACTGATCACCTCCCTCTGCCCTGACCTCATGGCCTGGGTTATCGTCACAGCCCCAGAGGACGGCAAAGAAGCCCCGCTGAAGGGCGTGAAGGTCGCAGGCAC